CCCCCCCCGGGGGGCAGGTTGGGACAACAGATATGTTTTGCCCGTCAGCCATGGCTGCACCAAGCCTGCACCGTTTCGGCTGTACGAGGTATCTCGCGATAGCCCTACATCACAGCAACACAGCCGTGCGTGTGCTGGCTCGATTGGTGCCTCGTGGGCGGAGATACAGACGGGGGGGGGGATTTAGACACGCCGAAAAATAAACAGTCTCATAATCTGGTCTTGTCTAGATTTCCAAAAAAGTTCGATTATTGAAGCAACACAATCATGTTTCGAAGTACCATCTGTTTGCACGCCAATATGCATCCACAACAGACGTGGCACGCCAAATAAACCATAAATTCATCCCACCCCAGAAGGGGCCACCGATATTCCTGCAGATTCCGCGGCAAACGCGCCGAACAGACATAAAGCCAACCTCGACGCCACGGGTGACAGGAAAGGCACATACAAACACTGAAATTTTGGAGGCTTTCCACATCGACGAGATACGTACAAGGGGAAACACGCGTGGGCGAGAAGGGCCGAGAGCGGGCGCCGAAGGGTGCAGAGGAAGCAAGAGGGGGAGGAACTGTTTACCCTTCTTGGGGAACGAGGTCCGCCCTTCGAACCCTTTCCGCAAAAACGATCTTTTCGGGCTGACCCGCAGCACGGAGACACGGCATGTGGGCGTGGATTGTAAGCAGAAATACTCGGAGCAACAGCTTCTTCCTCCCGTATTTATCCTTTTCCGAACCATTCGACCATGTGCTGCACATCCATGTAGACTGCGATGAGATGCCGCAGCATACGCGGTCATCAGGTAGACTATCCTCCCAGCTGCAGCGTTTGTTGTTGCAGCCGTAAGTAGCAAGGTGGGCGGAACTGGTCCAGTAGAAATGTCGACGCTCTTACGTGACAATTTCTACAGCTGTACACTGCACAGGATGTTAGCCAATGAAGAAACTACTACGACAGTACGCCACAGAAAGCATTCAATGTCCCTGGTTGGGCGTCGCGTTATCGCAACATCTTTCAAAAATGATTTGTTGGCGCGCCGTCCGTCCACTTGTTCGGTTTTTCGCGTGTCGATCTCGTCGCCCCTCCCCCAGCAGGGTAGCGTCGAGTTTCTCAACGAACTTTCACTCGGAGAGAAACTGCTTGGCAAAGGCGGCAGCGGAAAATTAATGCAAGGCAAGAAGATGGCGGAACCGGGCCAGCGCCCTTTTGCCGCTATTCTTGTTGCTGTTCCCGCCATCGTTGGGGTGTTTCCTGAATGTCGTTGTTATCGTCGTGTTGTTGTTGTGAATCGTATTGGTATCATGGGGCTAGGGTTACTGCGTCTGCTCGCGGAGCTCTCCTTGCTGTCGACGCTTCCACGAGGTCTATTCTGCCCCAGACCTCCACGCATCTAAAGCGCAACAGAGATTGTTGTCGTTGCAGGATCATTGATGATGAGGATGCCAGTAGGTGCACTTTCATCAGTCGCTCTAACGCCTACACGTCGAGCTCACGGTACCCCCTTCCTCCCCCGTCGGTCGCAACGGGCGGTTACTGGTTTTCACGTCAACAAGCCGGTAGCCATCAAAGTCATCGATCCCCTGGCGCACCCCTACGCGGAACGGGTTCGAAAGCTGTTTGAGAGGGAAGTGAACCTGCACGGGGTTGTGACAGGCCTGCCAAACGTGATTCAGTGAGCGTTCTGTCAAACCTCAAGTATTTGGCATGTTGATAAAAGTTGTGAAAGCGCCCTATTTCACTCTGGTCGGGTTGATTTGTCCCACAGAACCTAACCTATCCACCCGAAGAGTGAATGCAAAGCTGGACATTAAATCCTATGAACCTTGGGTTTACAGGGACATGCATGCGTTTCTGATGGATAGTCGTACAACATTTTCACTTGCCTGGTAGAATCAGGATCTTCACTTTATCTACCTGCATATGACAGCCCTCCTGCATCACAGATAGTCTTCCCTCCACAAAGGGCCGGGCGCACCTCGCTACGGGATGGTAAGGTGCAGCGAAAATGGGACCGGCATGTCACCACATAACAATGCTACAGTGGGAGTCACTGACCGCACCAAAGCTATCTTCCCACTCTCAATTCTGGACCTCGTGAAAAGAGGGCTGCGACGCTGCGATCTCGCCCAATATTCAACCGAAAACCAGCGCCTACCTAGAATGGATTAGCACTGTCGGTAAAAAAGCAGGTTGCTCGGGGCAAGCACACAAACATCGACCGCGTGCTGCTACCTCGCCACGGAATTCGCCACGAAGGGAGACCTGTTCAATGAACTAAAGAGTCGGCGGGCGCTACCGGAAAACGTGGTTCGAGAAGTTATCTTGCAACCTATCATCGCCGTAGCCGACCTCCACAGGAACAACATCTGCCACCGGGACATCAAACCGGAGAGCATTCTCTTGAAACATTCAGACGTCGATCCCCGAGGAACCTTAAGCGAATTAGTGATGTTTTCAACCGTTGCCATTTTTCCGGATGCACGCATCGTCTGCACCATCGCGTAGCAGAATAGTTTGGTGTGTTCCCGCCCACCCACCCCTTTTCGTTCGAAGGTGGGGGAGAGGAGAGGACCGATCGCAATTACTTGGGCGAATAAAACGGTGGGGTACAACCCTTTGGAGGACATGGTCGTCTGAGACTACTGCGTGCCGTAAGATTACACAAGTCCCTACACCTAGGTCAAGAGCACTACAGAGTAGTCGCTGCCGCTTGGAGGAAAATGACAGAGCACTGTTGAAGGCGGAATGGCAGAGACGTGTTAGAAAGGCGCAGAAAGGTGCTGCGGGGCAACATATGCTCAGCAAGTTAGCATTTCTATCTTTCCTCTCGTGTAGAAAAATACTTCGAAGTAGTGATGAATTGTTGTTGTTGTTGTTGTTGTTGTTGTTGTTGTTGTTGCTATTGTTCTTGCCTTCACATTAAAAACCGTTCCGATCTCCCACTCAGTACCTTCTAATGTCCGTACTGGTCCAACTGACGCGGACGCCTTCCGTCAGCAGTGCCTATTTATTGATAGTAGATCTTTAGGGCTGACGCGTTCTGATTGGTCGGGCGTTGTTCGGCGTTGGTTCTGGCGGGTGATTCCGCTCAAGGCCCTTTCCCCGTTCCGCATTCCGAGCACGCGGCGCAGCCGCGTGCCGCCCAGTTCGCGGCCGCTAGGCCGTGCTTTGGCCGTGGGTGAGGGTTAGGGTTAGGGTTAGGGTAGGTGTGGGGTGAGCAACCTAGCCTTTCTCACGTAGAGAACCTAGCCTTGCTACGTTCAACATCGGTTAGTCCTAAAGAGCTACTATCAAAGTGTTCCAATCCTCCCTTCCGTGGTCACAAGCCAACTGCTTCACCCAAAAGGGCGGTCAACGTTTCCCATGAAAAAAAAAATATATATATATACAATGGACCCCAGAAATGTCCTCAACGGCGCGATTTATTTTCTACCCCAAACGAAAAAGAAACGAAGGGGAAAAATAACCGGGAAAGACAAATATAGAAAGGAAAAAGAGAGAAAGACGAAGGAACAAAAAGTAAGATAGGTCCCTGAACGCTCCAGGGTATCTACCGAACCAACACCGTAGTAGGCAACTACCAACAACGCGACACCAAGCAGATGACTGACAGACGACGACAACAACCTCACTTCGGGGGCACTGCGGGGGGGGGGGGGGGGTTAGCGACACGGCGGGGAAAGTATAGGGATCGTACGTCCTGCTGGTATTCCTGCTATCGCCTCTAAAATTATCAGTCCGGTATGCAACTCGAAAAAAAAAACACGGAAAAAATGTACGGTAGTTCATTTTCATGTTCCCGTTCAATCGCCAAACGACAAAGACCAACCGCTTTCGTCAAGCGCCAGCATGCTCATTCTTTCATCTCCAGATGTTGTACCGCATTGATTCGAGGTAGCCAGGCACGTCAACGAAGACAGCAGCATGTGACATTTTGCCTTTTTTAGGTGCTGTTCCGTGAAGTAAAACATAACATCGAACACGATTGGTTCTGCGGGCGGCGCGAAAGGAATGGAATCGTTGCAATCGATGGGAGCACCTGCTGTCTCGATGGGATACCTCCGGATCACCATGGGATATGTAGACCAAAGTGGTTGGAAAGTAGATCGCTCTATGTCTATATGACAAGAATATGTCAACGATCAACGGGTCCCGTCCCATGCCTTCTCGGGCCCAAACGCTTCTTCCAGGAGAGGCCGATCTGCGGAGCGTGGGCGCGGTCATGAACGATATTTTTCTAAGAGGTCTAGACAACCCCCCGTGGGGGACAACACCTTCTGGGACAGGGTGAGTTTTATGAGCCTGGTTGTAGTCCACGTACATAGTCAACAGGTGTCCGGTGGCAACACTTGGTGTGTTGAGTTTTGGCGCTGTTCGACTCGCTCACTAGCGTCCCGCAATGCATCTCCTGTCAACAACCAAAATTCAGGATGTGTGGGAGACAGTCTCGACAAATGCCAGAAACCTGCTGGGGTGCCTTCTAGAAGCCGACCCTTGCCAACGAATATCTATCTGCGGAGGAGGCGCTGCAGCATCCGTGGATAGCGCGAGCATTGTCGGAAACGGTATCGGCTAAAGTAATGGATGGGAAGATCTTCGCGTCGTGGCATGGAAAAATTGTCGCAGATTTTCTGTTCATCCAAAATATAATTATCGCTTTACATACAGCCTAGTATGATGGTGACGCGCCGGCTGGGACGCTCCCCTCCCCCAAACTCAAAAATCTACCGTTCCTTTGGCAACAAATCTTCCAGGTGTATCGAGGGATTCCGGCATCAGAGGGCGCCAGATCTGGCGAGGGGAAGAGGAGCAATCATTCCCCTCGTCGGCAAGAACGCCGCCACAAAATGATGAACAGCGAGGACCCCTAAAAAATGACGCTTAACATGAACAGTGGAGTCCGCAACGTCGTCGGACAAGTTCAAATCCCGCCAAAAGTGCTGAAAACTGAGCGAGGATGGGCCTTGAAACCATATCCTGAAAAAAACAGCACCAGCGCCAGCGAAAACTGAGCAACATCAACGCGACCACCGATATCAACAACCGCGGCACCGGCAACAACGTTTGGAGGTCACCCACCTACAGCCTCGCCACCAACACCAGTGGGTCTGCCAAGGACGCCAGGAACGTCAAGGGTAATGACAACGGAGGCCCTGAAGCGGGCGGTGTCTCAACCGTCAAATTTCCTACCCTCCGTGCTCCGTCCTCCACTCCCGCTGCCACGGCCACCACGGCATGCCAAGGCGCAGAAGCCCGCGTTCCCGACACACGTTCTTAGAAGAGCATCAAGACTGGGTTCAGGAATGCGACCAGGAATAGGTCTTGTGGCGGCATCGTTGCGGCAGCTCCTGGTTTCCAGCGCCGGGTAGGAGTTAGTCCTGAACCCGAGGGGGCAAATCCCGTGTCCGTGTACATTATATAGGCGATCGCGGCGAAGAACGCTACACCCATCGCTAAGACCATAGAGGTTCCGATGAGCGCTACCAGCCTCGGTACTGCGCCGGCAGTCGGGGAACGATTCTGTTACAAGAAAGCAGATACGGTACTCCTCCATAAGGGGTCACCATCCTCGTGCCCGCGACTGCACCTACGACGTGGTGAAATCACTGAATAGTAGGGTTGTTGATCAAACAGACTCCATGTAGATGAGCGCAAGAGGCTGATTTCCCGCCGTGAGACCAAATGTAGACTAGACTATGTGATCTAAGGGGTGCCAGTGTTTAATTTATTAGTCCATTGTGTCGCCTGTCCAGTTTTAGATTCTTCATAGACTATGTCCCGATGTGGGTCCAACCCGAGAATGTTCACCCTGAGCGGAAAGTAGCATTTGCGCTTGTATTGAACGCAAGTGAAGTAATGATTGCCAGAGGTGGAAAAGATCGATTCTGCCCAGTAGTATGTCTCCTGGCTCTTATGATGGAGCTGCCCCATAGCTGCTGCCTCAGAGCAAGCGACAACCTTCCAGAGGGAAAACAATATGAGCGTGCTTGTGTCCGGTCCCCCGTGTAGTCTACGGGTGTGTGTCCGTTGAAGCAATCCGAAAGAACACCTTCCATCGAGAGCCCTCGCCATCATTCCCTCGGTGGAAGAAAGAGTGATTTCGCCGACAAGTACCGACAATGGTAAGCCTTGCGCGAGCATCGACACGGAACCTGCCTCTCTCTTCGGCTTGGAGCCCCTGTGTTAGTCTGGTAAGTCATGACTTGAACGTTGTCCTCTTCAGTGCGAGGTGTGATGTGGATCTGAATTAGGACTGAGAAGAACCACGGTACCAATCTGACCACCTGTTCTATGGTCCTACGGCTATGCAGCCATGTACGAGTAAGAGCCTGTTACCGTCGAAGTGGAGCACGCGCAGTGTAAAATAGTGGAAGGGTGGTCACAAAGCTGTTGTAGGGCAACGCACCACCTCACCGCATTGTTATCAGGGGATCTATGAGGCGTGGATACGATTGGATTTCGCCCCGACTGCCCTCTGATGATGTCTGTCCATTGATCAATCCCTTCAAGAGGCCGCCCTCCGGTGTTTGCCATCGGGGTTGGGTTTTCGTCGCTTGGCAACGACGTTGTAAAACAAGCCCATTTACTTCGTGAACTCGGCAATCAGGTTACCGTTTTTTTTTTTAACCTCCGGTTTTTTTTTTTGGCGGTAACCATAATGGTGGTCGAGTAGATCATGTTGTGCGGGGTGGAGAACCCTCACTCCGCGCAAGGGGGATGATCGCACCACGTTGTGTTAAAATGGCCACGCATCCTCGAGGCAGTTACACAGTGCTTACAACTGTCTCTGGAAGTGAAAGCACCAGAAAATAAATCAAGTCATACGCAGCTGTCATCCGTGCGCAAGGAAGTAAGCACAAGATGCCGAAAACCGTTAGCAGGATGCAGCGCACCCATCATGCGACTCGCCGAATATCTCACGGCGCTTCGCGCTTGGTGATGTGAGAGCCTGGTCCGGTGAGAACCCGGCGTGCTCCGTCCCGGCTATGTAGGGATGCGAGGTCAATGGCCTAACGACTACGGCATGTACGGCCATGAGTACACCCCCCCCCGCCCCCCTCCCTTCAAGAGGCCGCCAGTACTCGAACAATACGGAACGCCATACCACCGTATGTCGTGTCTCCCCGAGGCGGGCGTTATTCTTTGTTCGGCAGAGGCACCTCAGCGAGGTTTCACAGGAAGCCTTACGCACGATCTTCGCGTGCAATCGTTGAAGTTCACCAGCGAAACATGGGAACACCCGACGAGAAGACAATTGACTATCATTCTTAACATCACTGGCCGACCAGGGATTTTCCACCACGCAGATTATTTTCGTCTTTCCAAAACCAACCGATAGGTAACTTGGGGACACCTCCTTTCTATTTCCTTTGTGCTAGACGACCAATAAGAAAACCGCGGGTACCTTTTCTCTCTCTTTTGGACCATGGCAGCGAGCGGGCAAAGACTGCAAGCCCTGGCTACCGCAACCTGGCTGTCAGGATAAACGCGCCGCAGCAGTCGTACTACGCAGTGAATCCAATTCGAAAACGAGAAGAGTCATCCATCCAGGATTACTTCAAGACCGGGAAACAACAAGTTATGTGTGGAGGGTAATCGCAACGATTGACTGTCCCCACAGCCCGGTACCGTGGAGGGTACTCGCAACGATTAACTGTCCCCAAAGCCCGGTACCGTAGCAGAATCATTTCGCACTGATCAGTCTACTCAGAAGTACAGACTGTTTTCTTCGAGAGGGCATGCAGCCGGACCCGAACTTTCGCTTTCTTTGTGGATCGACTCGAAGATGCACAATTTGCACTGACCGCGGAACACCGCGCAGACCCGAATCAAACAATCAACGAAGGAGCTTACGGCTCATGCGAACCAAGACCAAGTGGTATCAATCAACGCGCTCTTCACCAAGAGGCCACGCGAATTGTATGTTTGGTGTGCCTCTCTTCCAATACCCGCGTCTAACAACATTCCGCACACCAGGCATACAAAACTACCAGTCACACGTCAACATCAAAATAAGTTCCCGTTCCGCATGATAGGAAACTACTAAAGCGCGAAACATGTAACGTATCATTCGATCTACCAATAATATGATAAGGTTACCAAAAATCAAAACCCGCCACCGCCTCCATCTGAACATTTAAACGGGACACTGCCAGCTTTCCCTCGTTCGTGCCCAAAAGTAGTGTAAACCCAAAGGCAGACCAACTCCACGACCGTGCCGCGAGAAGCGGGTGCCACGTGCAGATCCTCGGCGGCCATCTATACAACGGCGGGGAATGGCATCATGACAGCCCGGCGTGTGCTCCGGGGAATCTCCGGAGCATGGTGGTGGGGCACACCTCTGCCTCAGCAAGGGGGCTGGCTGGTCTGGACACCTTTGTTCTGCCGTCTGTCTGAGTCCCGATTGTACCGCCAATACACTGTATTCATGAAGTAACCAACTGTTTTTTATCAAGTAGTGTGACTAGTGAACACCGAAAAGAGGGCCAACCACTGCTAGCCAATCCCGTACTTGCGCGAATGGGGAATGTGTTGGTCTTGCTTGACGCTTCCCTCTCCCTCGTGAAGCCCCAAGCCTGCACGATTATTGGGGATACCGGCTCATCACGGTATGCCAACAGTCTCCTTTCGTCCGCGAAACCTCACCTCCGGCTTGGTGGGGTCTGTTTGTTGATGAACAGGAAGCCTTCAGGGGGTTTGCTTGGGCGGGTACAGGGGCTCCTTTCCGTTGAGGCGCCAGATGGACTGCACAAGCAGGTTCGCTGATTTTTTGGGTTGGGTGAGGGCAAGCGAAAAACGAAGGGTGGTTGTCGATGGTGAGTAGTGCCCGACCCTATTGAGGCCTACAACCTGGAGCATTTTCCACGATGACCCAAGCAAGGGTACCAAGGGATTCGCAAAAAGAATGTCAAGTGAAGAATCTATTTCTATTTTCCCCTGGGTTCTTCAGCACTTGAGCAATGCCCGTTCGTTTGGTACAGAGCAGGGGGCTATGTAGTGCCGCTATGTGCCAGCCTATCTCACCGGGCCTGTTGCGGCCACCTTTCACATGTCGACCGGACCTACCTAACTACTCCAACCGCATTCCTCGACAGCACACGCGTACATGGCAACAATTTCACCAGCCAATTTCTCTGCACCATCGTTCGGCAGCTTGTAGCCTTACCGACGGATATCCACAAAAGACTGGGCAGGAGCACCAGGCCAGCCTTGGGCAGCACTTGGTAGTAGCGGTACACTGCATTCGCGACGCTCAGCCACTGCAAAAAAAAGCAGACATAATACGACGAGGTAAGCAAGGGGCGAATGACGAGTGTCGATGCACTTTGGGCGAACACATATCGACACGTACGTGATACGCCCGGCACGGCACCCAGATTTATCTCTGAATGTAGCGTTTCAGAACGCTGTCTACACAACGTACACGAGGCATTATAATGCAAACAAAGCATTCGTTGCTGCCTCATGTCTGTAATGCTTGCCGTCTTGTGTGGAGAGTACAGGCCTATCACCCCAAAAAACAGGTAATCGTCAGTGTTGGCACTACCAGGCAGTTCTGAATGTAGCGTTTCAAAACGCTGTCTACACAACGTACAAGAGGCATTGTAATGCAAACAAAGCATTCGTTGCTGCCTCATGTCTGTAATGCTTGCCGTCTTGTGTGGAAAGTACAGGCCTATCACCCCCAAAAAACAGGTAATCGTCAGTGTTGGCACTACCAGGCAGCGGACACGTGCAACGAATTTGCCGTTCGTATTCTGTTGTCGCATTTTCCGACTACATTTGTGGATTTTGTTGGGGTTTCAAACATAGATTCAGGTTCCTTTGGAGCGCAAGCGACTTATGCTGGAGGACCCTTAGGGTCACGGATCGGATACTAGGGTTAGTTCTGCATCGAACGAGAGTCGCCATCCTGCCATGCCATACACATCTGGTCGAATGTCAACACGCTCCTTGAACGTAAACGGCATTCGAGTTTTCCGTGAACTTCCACAACCACCTTTGTTTTGCGTCTTTGAGCTTCAATGGTGTTTTCTCCTCGAATGTGGCATCGCAAACATACACGAAAATAATCAGCCTCGGCGACACGTAGAACCACCTCAACAAAGCCGAGAACAAGCTCGGAGTGACTGTATCGGTCGTCTCCTTGGATGTCAAAATACCGTCCACAGTCATCCCGTAGCTAACGCGGAGGAATCCCTTGGTGATTGAGGAGAGTGTGAACCGCTGCAGAACACATCACAACGCCAAGTTTCCGACTCTATTGTACGAGAAAAACAAACAATGTCCCTTTTCAAAGCCGGCGATTGAACGCGAGACAGTCTGCAACACAAGAAAACCATTTTTCGAACCAAAAAATAACACATCACAGTTGTGCCTTGTCTTGCTCACCACTAGGAAGACACCGGACACAGCCACTCCGAGCTTCTTCTCGACGTTGTTGATGTGGTTCCACGTGTCGCCGACGCTGAGGTGGAGCACCATGGCCGCGATCGGAGTTGCCACTAGGTTACCTCCGAGAGCTTCCCACACCTGGCCGACCGGCAACGAAACACATCAGGGTACGCAGTACTCTTCAGCCAGAGAGCCCGTTCGATCAACGGCAATAATAGGTCAGTGGTCTTCGATTAAACTTGCACTATCTGAATCATTTTTCTCGTGGTGGCGGGCTCCACAGAGGTGCGTGTCCAGCAGGGTAGGCACGGCGGAAGCAGAGTGTCGAGTCCTGTCCAAACACAACCAAGTACGACAGAAAGAACCTTTCACACGAACGGCGCCACCAGACGGTATGTAGTCGTTGTCAATTTCACACTCGCCATGGCGGTTGAAAGTGCCCTCAGCACACCAATGGTGATCCAGATGACGGGGAAGGCTTTGATAGGCGGCATCCAGTCTGGACGGCGACGCTCAATCTTCTCCTCTTTCTCCTTCGCCAGGGAGGGACGACGCGCGTTCAGCAAGCTGAATGTTCTGCGGAACAAAGAAACAGATGCAGGGGGTTATTGAGAAAATAAGAGATTCCGCTCCGTAGCAGCTGCTTGGGTGATCAACAAGGTGTGAGTGTCGCCCCAATAAAAATTAACATCAATCTTTGCATATTTCGGCGCGTGGTTCACACGTGAGGTTTTCGTTGCTTCTCAAAGGTCGTTCCGCAGTGCTTGCCTTGATTTGAGAGATGGAGATAAAATAAACTGCTCTTGAGAGGGGGGGGGGGGGGCGTTCGGGGGGGGACGGCAATACAATTGGAACCTTGGAGTGGGAAGCCCTAAATCTCCCTCCTCCACCATCGCCACGTCCGCCTGTATCGACATGTCGGCCAACCCGCCCCAAGCCCGATTTCGCATACGTATGGGCATTCACGAGTTCAAAAACCAGAATCCCGTCCGTCCTCCACCATTCAAGAGGATGCGGGAGGCTGAAACCGGAGGTCTCTTGTGTACTTTATGCCGGAAAATAACGCGGTGGCGGATACCGATTGGTCTATATGCTGAACAAACGCTCCCCATCAGAGTACAACTCAACACTATTGGGCTTACGGTAGGTGTTCGTAAATGATGACCGCGATACAAACGAGGCAACGTAGAGCACAGGACCAAATCACGCCGTGGCGAAGAAAGCGGCATTGCTGTACGTAGGGATAACTATAGGACCAGACACCGCAAGAAAGCTTGGAGCATCCAGAAAACATGACACAGCGATCGTAGACTGGTGTACCACGAATGCAGGAAGATGACAGGGCCTACGGCACTACACAGCGCACCATGTCGGTCAAATCGAGCAGCAACAACGACACAACAAACAACATCAGATACCTCGATTTCATGGCTAGGAAGCCGAACGTGAGAAACACCGTTCGCTTTGCCCATTTTCCGGGTAGGCGAGGTAGCAACTTCCCTTGCATCAGCGCCAGCAACCCCTGTGGTGCGCACCGCCAACAAAGCAAACATGACGAAAAAGCAAAAGGTAAAGGTATCGACAACATTTGTTCGTATGAATATTTCCAGGCTACCCACGCAGAGCTGAGAGGGGGAGGCGTACCAAACACGAAGAAGACCTGCCGCGTAGGAGGCCTGCTTGGACCAAACCATCCTCGAAATCATCAACAACGGTGCCAAGAGATTGCACTGGTTGTTCCCATGAACATGCCGTCGGGCGTCGTTTTTTGGGCTACGCAGCAAGTCCTAACAGGAAACCGAAACGCAACAAAATCACTCCTACATCAGTTCCTGCCTCACGTCGCGTGGACGAAATCAAACGGCAAGAGAGCGAGTCAGCAACCTTGGGGTGGAACAGCTTCGAAAACATGAATACTCGAAAGTTAAGTAGCACACGCGTCGGAAGTACGACAGCGGAGCAACACAGCACACGTCTGCAGCGAGGAAACCCTACTGAAGTTTCAAATAGGAACAAAAACGCGTGATGCAACCTGTGGTAGATACCCGATCAAACCAAACGGTAGATCACGAATGCCACATGTACGGAAACGCCATCCGAGTTACAGTCGGCACACAAGGGGACTCGTCGGTGGTAAATTTCCGCCACGGGTTAATAGCAAGGAGCGACGTTCTCGGCAGAGCAAGCCCCCCTCTCTCGTTGCCAGCAAGTTCACTCTGGTGCGTCTAGCCTGCTGCTTAACCACTCCGGTTGCGATGGAAGTATGCGATGTGCACCGCACGATTCCAGACCAACGTTCCATGTTGGCACTGTGGGAGGAGAAAACTGCTGCTGTTGGAACGTCGGTTGCATTTCGACTGCTGTGCGCTCTTACCATGATGATGGTGAACTCCGCAGCCGTTCCAGCGATGTACCTTTGAGGTCACAAAGATCACGGGTCCAGGTCGCGCGCGGGGAAGGGAAAACAAAGGCGCGATATGGTGTAGAGCAACCGACCTTCAGTATGTGGCTGGTATGCATACGATGTGTTCCCCCGTACACCGTCCATGTCTCGTTTGTTACCATTTACCAGCAGCATCGCCCTAGATCCCGCCAGAAATCACGATGTCACGTCCGCTTGAAGAACACGCCTCCAACTCCAGGGTTGCAACAACATGGCATGAAAACAACAACCAACAGCAACAACAACAACAACAACAACAACAACAACAACAACAACAACAACAACAACAACAACAACAACAACAACAACAACAGGATATTTCGTACGTTACGTTGTGCGTTGTTTGGCAGACCAAGCTGCTCAGTCTTTTGTACAACTTATGTACGTCTGCAGGTCAATCTGATGTCCATCTCGCAGGTGGAACATGTGTCGCTGACCGTGACACAACAGCCGACTGCAACAGGGTAGTGTACACTCACTTCGCCACAGCAGCCAAATCCAAAGGGGGGCGGGACGAGGCGCCACCCCCCCCACCAGCTGCAGGAAGGTCTGAGGCTTTCAGCATGACAGTGCCTCCCTCTCTGCTGACGGTATTGCTTTGTGGAGTCCAAGGTAGAGCCTGGGGCGCGTTGGCAACTCGAGCATGTTGTTGCCGAGCTACCTTTGGCGAACGATCACGGCGCAACGCGGTCGCAGAAGGAGAGAAGGAGAACGCCGACGAGTTCCCGACAAGTGCGAGCAACGCCACGCAAATCGAAGTGATCACTGTCATGGTTGGGGGGCGTGTGTGAGAGCAGTGCTCCGGTGCTCGGGTGCTCACAAGCAGAGTTTACAACCAGACCACAACGTGGCTGGACTGTCAGAAGTCTGGAGCTATGATATATGACTTCCTACTTGATTGATAGGTCTGAAGTCTGGGAGGAGGGGACCCGTGAACACCGGTAGGGATGACGATACTGACTCAGAATGCGATCTGCGGTCCCCCCAGCTGCCAGCTATTCACCAGCAATGTGCACACGAAGTGTCCAGTTTTGCATTCAACGGCATCAGACAAGCGATACGCACCCCTTGCTCTGAGCATAATGAGGAAGAGGAGAGGTTACGCGTCTGCTGCCACCGCTGCAGCTATTTGCACCTGTTGTTTGTTCTGTCCATCGGGAGCTTTTTGGCAACAGGTTCCAAACGTGCGGAGTATCTCGTGCGGACAGACCCGAGCACATAGAGCACATAATGTAGCCGTACCTCGCTGCCGCCCCTCCTCCCGGCTGCCGTTGCATCGCGGAACCTCGAGGAGAGACGAAAGGAGAAGGAAATCTCCGTTCACTGTTGCCTGCGCGACAGATCCAGCTGGTGTTGCCGAGGGGAGTAGCAATACCGTTCCCACCGATGAGTCACAAACACAAAAAAATGACGTTTCAGCCGGCGACACAACAGCAGGTGCCGCTGCTGCTGCCGCCGCCGGCGATCTAGCAGGCGGCGGCGGGCTTGTCGACAAAGGTGGGGTGTCAAAAGATCGCTTGGCCTTTGAAGAGCTGGGTACGCGAGAGATGGACAGGTTGTTCTCGACGCTGGAGCCGTGCGACGTCAGCGGGTTCAAGCGGAAGCCCACCAACCTGTTGAGTGCAGCCTCCCTGATCGCGGGCACTGCGGTTGGTGCGGGCATACTTGCTCTTCCCGCGGCCACACTTCAGGCCGGACTCTTGCCCAGCGCCGTCGGACTCGTCATGATGTGAGAAGAACAGCCCCGACGCCCACGGCATGGGCCTTGTTTTTTGTTTCTGTCCCGCTGCGCATGCTCTTGTATTTTCTGGGCGTTGCGATTACGATTGTCATGATTCGCAAGATCGAAAATTCCGAACCGGCTGCACGCGGCACAACGACGATCGTATGTAGACTACATGTTTCCGCCGAGATCGTCAAGTACAACGCATCTCGACTTCCAAGGATGACGCATCTCGACCGCTTAAAATAGTCACAGCCGGGCCTTATATCCTGGAGTATGTGCGTTTTGGGGGGCTATTCTTGCGCCTTACACGCAACTTGAGCGAGAATGCTGCCCAGGCCCTGTCATGTTCAGATTGCTACCTAATGATGCACGGTTTTCGAGAGGGTACCGAAATTCTGCCCTCGGTTAGGTATACATCAGCGGTGGCTGAGTGGTTCGGTCGATGCACTTCAAAACTTCCTGACATTAGGGGTTCTTAGTTCGAATGTCTCCAGAGTAGAAAAAAACGTAACCTACATGTGCAAGTGAGCTAAGGGTCGGTCGAAAATTCAACAAAGAACGAGGAAGGTATGTTGAACCTTGCACGTTACAATACAATTGAACACAAGCACCGCGGGAGGAACCGTGAACATTTCCTCCCGAATGCATCTAGGTGGGGCACGAAAAAAAAACAGAGAGAAGAAAAAAGCCCTGGTGGTGTTTACCCCTCTCCTGTGAGACCCTTGATGGTTGTAGTTGTGCGAAAAAATACACTGAAAAGTGTAGTATTTAACACTGAAAAGTGTAGTAGACTACACGTCTCACCACGAAAAATGCACAGGTCCGTTCTGTAGGGTACTCACAGATCGGTACCGGCGGTATGTTCCCTCTGTAAGTACCGACAGATCACTACAAAGAAGATCTGTCAGACCCCAGTACCCTACAGAGATTTCACAGATAGTTCGGTACTCTCCCCAGTATCTACCGAGATTTTACAGACTGTTCGGTACTCTCCCAGTACCCTACAGATATTTCACAGAACATTCGGTACTGCCCAGTACCCTACAGAGATTTCACAGAACGTTCTGTATTCTCGCAGTACCCTACCGAAAAGTTCTGTGAGACCCCAGAACATACAGAGTTTTACAGAGGATTTCTGTGAGACCCCAGTATATACAGAGATTCTACAGAACGTTCGGTACTCTCCCAGTACCCTACCGACAAACAGTTCTGTAACTCTCCCAGTACCCTACCGAAAAGTTCTGTACAGTAGTACCCTCGGAGGTATGACGTCAGGATTGCGCCGAAGACCCCACCTGCCCCACAGCCACAAAAAGCTTGAAGGCGATCACAGAACTAGAACTAGGTACCTCCACAGAACTCCTTTCGGTCATATAGCTTGAGAGGAACATGAGCGAGAGTGCAGACCTCAGCAGCAGCGTCTCCCCGGCGCAAAGTACAGCAGTTGGGGGTGGAGGAGGCGAGGGTGAAACAGAAACAGCCGTACGTGTTTTGTGTTTTGCTTTGGTGCACTGCGTTTTCGCTCCAAATGACAACAACGGAGGCTTAGTGCTGCGTAGCTACGGCGGTTGATTGTTGATTCTGTTGTTGTCGTTCTTCGCGGTTTTGATTGCTGTACCTCTGAGTGGAGGAGGCGCCAAGGCAACCGCAGGTCAGGTGTAGTCGAACTGTTTTTTTTTTTCGTGTCAGCTTCATTAATTATAGTTGATGAGGAAGACCAATGGTGGCGCCGCTGTAGGGTGGGGTAGAATCAGAATGCACGGAGCCACGTTGATCTCGGAGTATAATATCAGTATTGTGTTTCATGCGGTGCAGACGTCCTTTTGTGCGGTGCAGGACGTGATGTCCTGTGACGCTGCTACTATCGGGGTAAGTACCGGGTTCGTCTGTAGGTACGTTGTTTGTGTACCATACAGAGGAGTTCTGTGAGACCTAAGTACCCTACAGAGATTTCACAGATAGTTCGGTACTCTCCCCAGTATCTACCGAGATTTTACAGAATGTTCGGTACTCTCCCAGTACCCTACAGAGAATACACAGAACGTTCGGTACTCGCCCAGTACCCTACAGAGATTTCACAAACAGCTCTGTAACTCTCCCAGTACCCTACAGAAGTATCAGTACCCTACAGAACGGACCTGTGGAAAAATGGGAGTACCCTTGCCACAGTAAACAGGACGAAAACACACACACACACACAAGCGCGGTCGATGCTAATAATAAAAGCACACACACACATGCCTCGGCTGGCGCGTCAAGAATGAACTTGCCCCCTAGAGTTCAATGACCCGAAAAACAATGAGATGCACATACACCCACTGGATCCGATCTGCGAATGATGACTGATACATGCTTTCCGACACCGTCGACAGGTGGGTGTACATGGTGGGCACGGCGTTGCTAATTGCGGAGGTGAACGTGAACGTCATCTGCTCGCAGGGCACGCCTGGAGTGGGATTGATTGCCCTTGCAGAGCAGGTAATAATATCGATGGCATCGCACTTGCTACCGGCGCTACGCGTGGGTTCCTGTTATGAGATGTTAGGCCTCTCTCCTTCCCGCTGCCTCGGTAGACCTGGCTGCTATTGCCCAATGGTGCTCAACGAAGGGCCTGTCCTAATTTTGTGCGTCTGTCAACCTCTCTGTCTGGTTGAATGTCTGGTTGCCTGCTGGGGGCTCGGTCGGCATGCTCGCACTGCGTGACAGGCTTTGGGGAAGGGCGGCGCAAGGTTCACTGGCCTCGTGTACGTCTTCATCCACTACTCGTTGCTTGTGGCCTATATGGCGCAGGGGGGTGAGCTTCTCGTCGAGAGCTTCAACAGTGTGTTCGCAACCGCGGGGTAAGTGTGTGGGGTTCTAAGTTTCGCGAGGGTATTTTACCCCAGCGTGTGCGTAAAATGGGTGGTGACTATCAATGTTGGGTTTCCATGGAGCCACGGATGCATGTTGGCGCCTTGGCCCAGGCTTCATGTTTGGTGGCCGGGGTCAGGAGTGGAATGAGGATCCGAGCGGTTCGTGAAGTTGGTTGCAACACTGATTTGTGTTTTTCACGGATCAGTTGGTTACTGGTCTTGATTGTAAGACGTCCTTTGTAAATGGAAGCTTTACGGGCGTGAAACACATCGTATGCCACCTTGTTCGTCTTACCCACCCTGTTTGTCATTTTTTCGGTTACTGTCTTTGTCCCGTCTCGACGCCTTCAAGGTCAGGCATAGCGGCATTGCCCGAGTGGGCTGGTCCTGTGGCTTTCTGCCTTGCCCTCGGTGGCTTGGTGCTATTCTTCAGCGAGGAATTCGTGGCATCTGTCAACAGGTGTGAGTTGTGTCCCTGATGCGTGTGACGTGTGGGCCTGGACATACCGCACCTTTGCACGACCTGTTGTGGGTGTGATATACTTAATAGTATTGTGCACAATACTACTGTACCCATCCCTTGTTGCTCACCCAACGTTTTTGTCGCTCTCTCCCCATATTTGTCCCTTTTCTTCTCTTTCCGTGTGTGCACCTCCTGTGGATCCGTCCCTCTCGGCAAATCCCATGTGTTTTGTTGTATTATATTTGTAGTTCTCTAGTCTCCTGTTATTTATCTCCCTTGGCGTGTCCCTCCTTCCCTCGGCCTGCCTGTCCCCTTCACGGAAATACACAACTCCGAAGCAGCATCGAATTTCGAGTTTCTTTGTGCGATTTTTTCAGCTACAGTAAGTAAATCCGTTTCGTTAAAAAATTCACCACTAACCCCACTTGACGTCTGTGTTCTTCGCGATCCAGTGTCTTGGTTGTAGTGGTGCTATTATCGTTCGTTTGCTTAGTGGGGGTGGGAAGCGGGGGCGTCCAGATGAACTACATCGCCGAACAAGACTGGAGCAAGCTGCCCTCCACAGTGCCTGTGCTGTTCATCGCCATGGTGTTCCACAACGTTATTCCGGTCGTCACGTCCCAGCTCGAAGGTGAGAAGATGCGAAGAACAAAACCGACAAAGCACCCTTCCATGGGAAATCTAATCAAGCGATGTACGTGTGTATCTGTATGCACAGACGCCGACGGTCTCCACTCGTCAATGCCCCCTCAGGCGGTCCGCTAAAGTGATGAGACTTGCCTTTTTTCACGTTTCGGTTGCGTGTTGTTCGATGCAGTGTTGATTATTTCTATTCCAGTGGTCG